CCCCGCCACCCCAGCCTGCAGAGGGCTTTCCACACGCCCCCGCACAAGGCCACGCTGCCCACCAGCTGTGGTCACTCCGTCAGCTCCTGGTCACCTTCAGGGGACAGTTTCCTCATCCCCGTGACCAAGGCCACTGTTTCCATGGACGCGAAGCACAGAGCAGTGGGCAGGGCAGGTGCGGGGACTGTGGGGGTCCCCGGGCCCCCCGCCCCGGCCCCACACACGGCCCCACACACGGCCCGTACACACAGCACACGGCCCCGCACACACCCCGTACACACAGCACACGGCCCCGCACACACGTGTGCACACGGCCCCACACACGCCTCACACACCCCACACACGGCCCCACACACGGCCCGTACACACAGCACACGGCCCCGCACACACCCCGTACACACAGCACACGGCCCCGCACACACGTGTGCACACGGCCCCACACACGCCTCACACACCCCACACACGGCCCCACACACGGCCCGTACACACAGCACACGGCCCCGCACACACCCCGTACACACAGCACACGGCCCCGCACACACGTGTGCACACGGCCCCACACACGCCTCACACACCCCACACACGGCCCCACACACGGCCCGTACACACAGCACACGGCCCCGCACACACGTGTGCACATGGCCCCACACAGACGTGCACACAGCCCACACACGGCCCGTACACACAGCACACGGCCCCGCACACACCCCGTACACACAGCACACGGCCCCGCACACATCCCGTACACACAGCACACGGCCCCACACACACGTGTGCACATGGCCCCACACAGACGTGCACACAGCCCACACACGGCCCGTACACACAGCACACGGCCCCGCACACACGTGTGCACATGGCCCCACACACAGACGTGCACATGGCCCCACACACAGACGTGCACATGGCCCACACACGCCTCACACACCCCACACACAGCTCTGCACACGCCCTGTACACACAGCACACGGCCCCATACACACCCCACACACAGCCCCGCACATGCCCTGTACACACAGCACACGGCCCCACACACAGACGTGCACACGGCCCACACAGGCCCCACACAGGCCTACACACACCCCACACAGCCCCGCACACGCCCCGCACACAACCTATACACGCCCCACACATGGCCCCGCACACAGCCTGCACACAGATGTGGACAGCTGGGGCACGTGTGAAAACTCGCGGCCTGCCTTCCATCGCAAAGACACCCAAACCGGGACACAGTCCTCGTCCTCCTCCTCGGGGAGAAGGTGGTGGCCTGCATCCTGTGGGCCTTGGTGGCTGCTGGGGGACCCCGTCCCACATCAAAAACACATGACTAATGCCCACGGTACAATCTGCTGTAAAATTTAAATCACAGAACAACTGGGTTTAAACAGGGAGCTGCAGACCGAGCCCTGCGGTCGGCCCTGCGGTCAGCGGGCCCCCAGGAGGCC